TCTCTCTCTCTTTCCCTCCCTCTGTCTCCGGCAAGCCCGGAAGAGAGGCCTCACCAGAAACCAAAATCAGTTTCTGTTGGTTAATCCAGTCTGCAGTCCTTTGTTATGGCAGCCTGAGCAGACCGACCTCTAGAGCAAGTTCTCACTAAGCCTGGCCTCTGGGCAGAAGAGCCAAGAGCAGTGGGGCCTTGCTATGCCTCCCTCCATATTTCCAGGGGAAATGCAAGAACTGTGGTTGGTGACCCCTCACTGTCTTGGGCCCTATTCCTTCCTCCTGAAACCTTAGCCCCTCTAGGCTGCTCTTCCTCAGTCGTCCCCCAAGGGTCACGTTCACAGCTAGCAAAAGATTCTCTCCTCACAGATTAAGGAAGCAGCTTAGTATTGCTGAACAAGTGCTGGTAATGCTTAGAAATAGCCCAGCTTGGCCACTGTCCTCCATACAAGGCCCCAGGACAATCAAGCCCTGTCTCTGAACTGTGAAAGGAGGGGACTGGGCGAAATTATCCCTCAGCTCCCTTCTACCTCAGTGATTCCAGGATCCTAAGCTATTGTCTCTAAGGGTTCACGTTCAAGGGCCTCTGAGGCCTGATATGTCTCCAGATCCCACACGAGGGAATCATTCTCTAAGACTGGGAGGTACTTCTGGCCAGGAGGCCTTCCCAGCCGTCTTCAAACCACCCTTGGGTGCATAGGTGACTGCTCCACCTACTCAGAAGTCTCAGAGTCCCCTGCTTTTTAGCACTTTTGAAGCCACAAATGTTTTTCTGGGAGATGGGAATTCAGAGGTCTCCCTGGAAGTTTCTGATTAACAAGAAATATCAAAAAGTCTTTTCCCAGTTAGAGAAGGAGGCTCGGTGGTGTTCTTTTTTGGAAAAAAATTAAAACAAAGCATAAAATGTCAGGAGGAAACTGCTGAGTGGCATGGGGAAGTTTCTTAATTTCCCAGAGGGCATGCAAACGTTTGCCAACCTAACCTTCATTTTGGCATGGGGCCTCAAGTGCTCTGCGAGCAAACAATGGCTATCACCCAGCTCTCGCGGCCGTGCCAGCACTGCAGCTGGTCAGAGTGGCAGACCCTTCGGAAAGCAGGCTCCGAAACCAAGGGCCTCTGAGGCCATGTGGAGGTAGGAGCCATCTCGTGCCTCTTGCTCTTCTCTGACAGCCCTACAGTCTGTGCACCTTAGAGTATACATAAATTGAAACTATATTGAAGTTGAGAGAGACTTCAAGGTCAAATCAAGGTCTAAGGAGATGTAGCAGTTCACTTGCTGAGCACTTACCAAAATGGCTGTGAATTGTGCGATTTTTTCATGTGCAATTGGATTGTAAACCCTGATAACCATCTATTATTTTTGTCTCTCCTACTCAGTGCTTCATATGTTCATTGCTGAGTGATGTTTTCTGACACCAAATGTGTGAGAGTTTTGCACACCAATGTTCTAATTCTCCTGCACCAACTGGGTGTCCAACAATTCAATTCAATGCTGACGCTAAGTTAGCGTGAGACCCCACAGGTTGAGGGTACAGGCCCACAAGTCTGCCTTCACTACAGACGTCAGCCTAGGCTACCCACACTTGTGCTTGGCTAACTACAAATTTGAGGGTTCCCACAATCGCCCCCTCTCAGGATTCATAATTGCCTAGTACGACTCACAGAATTCAAGAAAGCACTCTGCTTACATTTACCAGTTTATTATGAAGGATACAACTCAGGAAGCTGTCACCTGGAAGAGCCGCATAAGGGCAGGTATGCAGTGCCGGGGACGGGGGTGTGTGGAGCTCCCATGTCCTCTCCGAGTACACCACCCTCCCAGCACAGCAGAGTGTTCACCAATCTGGAAGCCCCCTGCGTTCCACTGTTCAAGAGTTTTTATAACCCATCTCTGGCTCCCTCTCCTCCCTGGAGGTCAGCAAGTAGGGCTGAACGTTTGGTCTTTCTAGTGACCAACCTCCTTCCTAAAGCCATCTAGGGGTCCCACGCTGAGTCATCTCATTAGCAAAAACTCAGGTGTGGTCCCAAGGAGCTCTCTATGAATAGCAAAAGACACTCCTATCGCTCAGAACTTCCAAGAGTTTTAAGAACTCTGCCAGGAACCTGAGACAAAGACTAAATATATTTTTGATGATCCCACAGTTGCACACAGTAGGTTCCTAAACATGTGTCAGTTAATTCCTTGACTAACTTGGAATGCAGGAAGCATAATTAGGGACTAAATATATCTAAGGAATCCCCTTTCCTCGAAATCAGAAAGATTACGGGAGACCCTTGATTTTGTGACAGGCCATTCTGCCAGGAGAACGTATGGTCCCAATTCCATAGACAACCTTGGCTTTGGTGAGAAAATTGATAAAATGCATACATTTTGGCTATTTTTTTGTTAAAAAGCTAAATTGCTTATTTAGGAGTTTCCATAGATTTAACTAATTATGAGGCTCCCTGACTACTCCTTATTCCCTCACCCCTTCATCGAAGCCTCGAGGGCTAACAGAATGACAAAAGGCAGAGCTGGAGGACAGTGCGCCTGGCACCTCTCCAGCTGAGGAGCCTGCCATTTCCATATGCGGGAGCTTGCCAGAAGCCTCATCTAAGCGAGTCCCAAAGAGACAGTGGGCAGCAGAAGATGCATCAGCACCAGGGAAGTCCCCGAGCAGGTCTGCAGGGCTGTGCTGCAGTTATCAATTATGCAACAGGATTTGGCTGCCTTTCAGAAGCTCCTTTCAGCATATTCCAAGGGCTCTGGCGTTGGAGTAGGCACTCTCTGTTCTCCCAACATGGCCGACCCACAGAGGACTTCCTGGGCCATCCTGGCTCCCGGCTGGTAGAGCTCTCACATGTTGTTAACTGAAAGTGAGATTACTCTCCAAGGAAGGACAGTTGGATATTTGGGACTCAGGAATTCCTGCGTCCTGCGCTGAGGAGGCTTGAGAGATTATCTTGTTCATTCATAGCGTCATGCTTATGTGGAGAACAGCTGAGGCTTGAGATGTTCCATTTATCTCCTGATTCAGTTCCCGTCTGTGGAGACAATAGGCTGACCTGACCTGGACCGTTTCCACAGCAGCAGTAGAGAGAGGCCTGGGTAAAGCTGAAGCCTCACTGCCCCATCAATCCATCTTGATTCTGAAGCTGGGCTCTGTTTGTATGACGTCTGCTCCTTCCTCATCCTCTGTCTCAGCAAGGCACAAGGCAGGAAATAAGAGGGGGACCAACTGTGATGGTCTGCCTGGCGCTGAGGAGGTTCCTGAGTGCTAAAACCAGGAAAGCCCAAGTCCCAGGGAAATCGGGGTGAGTTGGTCACCCTGGGAAATGGCCAGGACTGACCTGAAGACACTATAGTCCCACCTAGGTGTCTGTGAGGCTGGATGGCTTCAGAGCCTGGTTTTGTTTGGAAAGTCATTATACTGTTCTCTTGAATTTGGCAATAAATAATGGTGTGAGGCTAGACAAAAATGAATATCTGTAACAGTAGAGAGGGTAAGCAAAAAGATTCAAGAATAAAAAATAATCCACAAAAATGGAAGTTTTACGAAAGCAGGAAGCATGATTTCTGTATCCCTATCACACACTGCAATGCAAAGCACACAGCAGATATCCAAGAAGTGTTTGCTAAATAAATGAGTAAGCAAACTCACGAGGAAACAAAAAATTCCAGCTCTGGCTCCGTCATTACTAGCTGTGCGACGTTAATCAAGTTGATGAACTTTTTAAAACCTGTGTTTCTTCATCCATAAAATGGGATGATAATAATTAGCCACTTTATGGATGTTATAAGCTGAATTGCATCCCTCCAAAATTTAGATGTGAAGTCCTAATCCTCAGAACCTCAGAATGTGACACATTTGGAGATAAGGTCTTTAAAGACGTAATTGAGTTAAAATGAAGCCATTAGGAGGCCCCTAATCCAATCTGTTTTAGAAGAAGAAGTTTGGACACAGGGAGAGAGACACCAGACACACGCACACACAGAGGAAAGACCACGTGAAAACACAGCAAGAAGAGAGGAGAGAGCTCTGCAGGCCAAGGAGAGAGGTCTCAGAAGAAACCAGACCTGCTGACCCCTTGATCTTGGACTTTTAGCCTCCAGAACTGTGGGAAAATAAATTTCTGTTGTTTAAGCCACCAGGTCTGTGGTACTTTGTCATGGCAGCATGAACAAACTAATACAATATTGATTAAAAGAAATAACACGTGTAGATCACCCAGCACATGAATGCTCAGTAAATATTTCTTGTCCTTATTAGTATTTACTACCAATAAAGCTATCTGTGAAGGGCACTGAAAAAATACATAGTATGTACAAAAGCATACAAAAAGGATCAGTAGAATTATTGCCTACACTGGAGGATCTTGGGAGACAGAGAAAAGTGAGCCTGCCCTGCATACGGACCACCACACTGGCATCACAGAAGGGTCTGTGTGTCTGCAAACAATACTTCAGCCCAGAGCTTTGCAAACTTTAAGAAGCATATAAATCACCTGAGCATCTTCTTAAAATGCAGATTCTGATTCCATGGGTCTGGGGTGAAGCCTGCAAATCTGCACTTCTAACGAGCTCCAGAGTTGGTTCTCACACTGCCGGTCAGAGGACCACACCAGGCAACACTGAAGAAATAGGTTGCTTAGTCCCAAGGGGAACTATAACTATTCGGATACACACGATACAAAACAAATTACATCAAGTGGCTAGAAAATACTTGCTAAACTGCATCCTGTATCTACATATAATGATTAGGGTCGGCAGTATGGGTTAAGTATGTATATAATCTCAGGTCACAGAGTTAAGGTGCTCAGGCAGGTGAAGCTACTTGGAGAATTCCTGGAGGAAGGAAAGAAGGCATTTGATTCAGCATCGGGAAATGAAGAACGATTTCTCTGTGGGAGAACCTCTCTGGGCCAAAGCAACTTTAAACAGTCGAGGTGGTATTCAGTTCTTTATTTCCCTATCCAAATAAGGACAGGAGTGGCATTTTGCTGCTCATTTGAAGGGGTGAGGGGAGGAAGGCGTGGGTGTGTTTCCGGCACTGTTTGCTACCAGCTAGCTAATGTTTGGTCTCCTTATCTTAGGAGAGGGTAATGGCTGGTGCCAGCATGGAGGCCGCCTGATCTCAATCTGACTCTAAAGTTATTAACAGAGCTACCAGGAGGCAGGCCTCCGTGTGGGCCCGCAGCCAGAGCTTCAGGAAGAGGGCCTAAGGAAGAAGAACAGACTTGGCCTCCGGTTACTAGGTAACCTAAGAGGAACATCTTTTAATAGAGCCCCAAATCTGCATCATCAGGGCCTCCTGCTCTCACTGTGTTCCAGGAAGTACTCCCTTCCAGGTACCTGAGCACACACAGGTCAGATTTTCCTCGTCTCTGAGACCCAGGAAGTTCCCTAGGGCGAGCAGATGTGGATCCAGCAACTAAGGGAGGTTTCTGTTTTTAGTGTTTTTCTACAGTTGGAGGTGAGAGGATGGATTGAGAAGGAGTAGCAGAGATCTCAGCCCCTGGAAACTTGGATTAATCAACTGACATCTGGGTATTCTTTTGCAGGAATCCAAGTTTCTTGTAAGGTAAGTGGTCAAGGTGACCCCTGATGGTAATTTCTCTCTGAATAGATTTTTGAGGACTTCATTCAAACTGCAGGGTCAAAGACATTATTGTGTTTAGACCAGCAGCTTCAATTTTGGAAGCTTACTAGCTGCCTGGTCAAGTCGCTTAACCTCATTAAAGTCTCAATTTTCCATATTTACAAAATAATAGCACTTATTTCCAAGTATATCATGGATTAAATGAGAGAGAAAGCATATAAAGTGTTTAGCCTTTATTCCAATTTCTTCTTTCTTCATTCCATTTAATCACATTCATCTCCATGATGGGATCGCAAGCCCCAGAAAGGCAGTAGGCACTCTGCTTACTTCACTTCCTTGCTCCCATCCTAGAGTCTACCACAGTGCTTCTCAGTTAGATAAAACTTAAATGAGCCTCTCCTACATGCCAAACAAAAGACATAGTCCTTGCCCTAAAGGAGTAACACAGTCTCTTAGAGGGAGACAGATGAGTCAACAAATAAATGTAATCAAGCATCCTAGACGCTCTAACAAAGATCTAAATGGGCAAAAAGCAACAAAGCAGAGCATGTTGACTTTTAGTTTGGAGACTAAGAGATAGAAAAGGGTTTAAGAGCTTCCCGGTTGGTGAACATGAGGAGATGTGGAGAGAGTGGCATATGGAAGCTCTGCACCCTTTCCTTGTTCCTTGCCCTGTGCATTTCTTCCATCTGGCTGTTAATAAACTAGCAATCTAGACTACCGGCTCTCTCTCCTTTACAAGCGCCTGATCAGCCCCAAAGTTTTCGCTGTGCACGTGGCTGGGCTCCAGGGGAAGCCATGGCCAGGCCGAGTGATCTGGAACAAACTAAGAATTTATGCTCACTGCACAAAGTACAACAACTATGATCATGGACCCATTATACTTTTTATCAGCAACCTGCACCAATCAAGAGAGAAAATCAAACTGGTCAGGACAAGCTTGTACACCAGTATCTGCTGCAGCCCTGGGGACAGGAGGGTCTGAAGTCCCATCTCCTCTCTTTAACAACAATAAAGGAAGGTATTGGAGTGTCCAACCAGCCACATCAGAACTCCTAGACTGACCGAGTATAAGTCAACAAGCATTAACGTGAACTACCATCAAAGGCAAGAAGGCACTGAACCACTATTGAAAATTAAGAAATGGAAACAATTCTGTCTAGCAGGTGAAAGGACTCCAGCACACAGGAAAAATAAAGCTGAGAAGGATGCATGCTAAAAAAGAAAAGAAAAGAAAAGAAAAGAAACAGAAAAAGGTTCAGAGAGGATGTGTTTGAACTGAGAACCGAGAATTAGCCAGATGTCCCAGAGTGTGTGTCTAAGTGTGGACTTGTGTGTGGGCACAGGATGGAAGGGGAGGGGTGGAAGGGATGGGTCAGTCCCCAAACAGAGGAACAATTCTAGCAGAAACAGGCAACAGCCTGGCCTCTTCAGGGATCTGGAAGAGGTTTTGTGTCGCCAGAGTGTGTAATGTGGGGGAGGAGGTAGAGCAAGAAATAAGGTTACACAACTAGATAAGGCCAAATCACAGAGGATCAAGCCATTCTTAGAGGTTTGGGCTTGACCATGAGGGCAATGAACAGCCAACAGAGAGGAGTGGCATGATCAGATGCGCAGGTAAGAGTATTTTAGCAAAACCTTTTTCTTTAGTTGCAAAAATGATTTCAATGGGAAAAAATTTAGAGAACACAAGAAAAAAATCACTTATAATAATCTCATTGCCCATACACAACTCATAATGTTCTGGAGTGTGTCTTCCAGAAGAAAATAACAGGGAAAGGGTGCTAACACTTATGGAGTACCTACTACGTGCCAGGTGCTTTACGGAGGTTATCCCATTTAACTTAACACTAAGGTTCGCTGTTCTATGTGGACTACAGCCAGTGGGCTGTGAAGAGGGGCTAAACAGGGAGGAACTGACTTAGCCTTGCGTGACTGGGTGACCTAAGATGAACATCTTTCCTGAAGCACCTAATATCTTATCACCAGACCCTAATGCTCACACTGTGCTCCACTGGGCAGATGAGATGGGGCACAGGAAGGTGGGAGGAGAAGCAGCTTTGGGAAGAGGAGATGAGGACAGTAAGTTCTCTCTGAGATGTTTGTGAAACACCCAAGCAGATATATGGGTTTGGTACTCAAGAGGGAAATCTGGGCTGGAACTCAAGGTTTTGGAGTTGGTGCTTATATTCTACTAAAGCCTTGAGAAAAGGTGAATGTGTGCCAGGGAAAGAGAAGAGAGAAGACCAAGAACAGAGCTCTGGGAAATGACAGAATTTCAGACTCAGAGCAAAGGAGATGCCAGTAGGGTTTGTAAAAGAGGGTCAAAGAAGACCCAGGAAAGAAAGACACCCTGGAATTTATCAAGTGTCAAACGTCACAGAGGCCAAGCAGAGTACGCAGTGGAAAGAAGATACAGGGTTTAGCCATTTATCAGTAAGAACTTTGCCAGAGCGCTTCCTGAAGGGGGTGAGGGGAGCCTGACGCAGCAGGTGGAAAAATGAATGGACAGGGACAAGAATGCAGCCTCACCTTTTGGAGAGCTTTGCTGTGAGGGAAGAGAGTTTTGTGTTTGATTGATTTTGCTTTGAAAGACTTGAGAAAATATCATATTTTTATGAAAGGTGCCAGTAAGGCTGAACATGGAGCCTAGAGAGAGGAATAACAAAGGGAGCACAGTGCTCAAGCAATTTTTCTCATCCAAGGTGCAGTCAGTGTCTGGAGATACTTCGGGTTGTCACCTCTGAGTTGGGGGGGTTGTTAGCAGCATCTACTGCGTAGAGGTCAGGGATGCTGCTCAACATCCCAAAATGCACAGGACAACCCCTGAAACAAAGAACTAGCTGGCCCAACTGTCCAAAGTGTCAAAGTTGAGCAACCTTATTCTAAAGAAAGGAAAAACATATTGAGAACACAAGTGCTAGGATTAGCTGCCATCTGATGTCATTCAATACATATTTGTTTCATAAATAAGTGAATTAAAAATTCCCTCTGGAAACCCTATAGCTTAGGCATGGCATGAAGAATTTGAATGCTATGTAGATATTCAGTCTCAGAGATAAGACACAGGATCCTACTCTAAGTTTTGAATGAAATGATGCTGTCTAGAAAATTAAGGAGGGCTTGGAAGATGGGCCTGGCAGAAGGTAAACTGACATTTATTGAGTGTCTACTGTATGCCAAGTACTTAATATAGTACTGTGACTTAATATTCACTGCACTCCAGTGAGCAAGGTATTAGCTCCATTAACTGAGGAGAAAATAGCCTCACAGAAGTCAAGTCAACTTGTCCAAGGTCACCCATCAAGTAAAAAATGGAACCAAGATTTGAACCCAGTTATGCCTCACTCTAAAGTCCAAGTTCTCTCCACTATACTGTGCTGTCTTCATGCTATAATCAAGTCAAGTGACAGCTCAGCTGTGAAGGATGAGCAGGAATTTACCAATAAACAGGCAAGAAGAGAGAAATAGGGGCGTTCCAGGTGTTGTGGAGCATGTGTAAAGGCCCTGTGGTGTGAAACAGCGTAGCTAGTGAGGCTGTGTGACTGAAACAAATAGTACATGGCTAGGGCAGGGGGTGGGAGTGGAACCTGGTGCAAGCGGCAGATGAGTATTGTGTCTGCGATACACATAAGTCTTTTCTAGAAGTTAGCAATTCTTAATTTTAGCCTTTCCTAAAGCTATTCAACCAACCAGAGCCTCGCAGTCCTTGGTTTTACATGGTTTTACATGGTTTTCCTTTTGCCCAGTGCTAAATTTTCCATATTCCATGCACAGATGTATCTAAATATTGGTTTAGGGTTTAGGAAAGCAAAAGAGGACGACTATGTAACCCACAACTCCCCTGACTGAGACACTCATTTTACAAGGCAAAAGGAGTTAGAGAGTAATTTGGGAATATTTAAACACCTGTTAGACAGCAGTGGGCCCACAGCTGCCCAGAACCTAAAACCAGGGCAGTCAGGGAGCAGCTTCAGCTTGTTAACTGCAGTACCAGATAAATGTCATCCTCTGCTCAGGCTTTTTAATAGTTTCTTAAAAAATAAAAATAAAGTACTCAGTTGTACTTCCTAAGGCATTTCCTGTTTACAGGGTATGTGTTCTAACAGCTGTGTTAGAAAGCATGACCTAAGGGCTTTCAGATCAAACTGTCCTTTGAAGCTACTAGGTGCTAAGCTAGGGGATTTCTCCCACCCAGGCCAGAGCCTGGTCTCCTGGCCCCGATCCTGGATGTCCTGGGTTCCTGGCTCCTCTAACCATACAGTCTTGTAATGACTGCAAGAGGATGAACAGTGCATGGAGGCCTGGAGTCCACTCTGTCTTCACGGAATGTATCATTTAACTGGAAAGGCAGGAAAGAATGATTTTCACAAAGCATTTTACAGAAATTCCCATCTTTTCTGGTCACAGAGCAGAAGTTGCCAGGCACAGATCACCTCTGTTTCTTCTAACTCTCCCACGCTCACCCACCCCCAATGTCTTTCCCTGTTCTGGAAAAGTGTGAAAGAGCAGGATACATCCTAGGCTGCTGGACATAGGCCCAATTATTCTCTGGAACAAGGAGTCCACCCCTGATGGTGAAAGGTAAATGTATATGCTTACAAAAAAAAAATCCCTCTTTTTAAATACAGTCAGTTTAAACAAATTTACCACTTTTAGGCCACTAATTCACTAATTCTCATTTCTGTATATTTGAAAATACACAGCCAGGGCTGGCCTGGTGGCCAAGTGGTTAAAGTTCCACGCCCTCCACTTTGGTGGCTCAGCTTCACGGATTTGGATCCCAGGTGTGGACCTACTCTACTCTTCAGCCATGCTGTGGAGGCATCCCACATACAAAATAGAAGAAGATTGGTGCAGATGTTAACTCAGGGCTAATCTTCCTCAAGCAAAAAAGTAGAAGAAGAGGATTGGCAATGGATGTTAGCTCAGGGTAAATCTTCCTCACAAAAATCAATAAATCAATAAAAAATAAAAATACC